CATTTATATTACAATTCATAGCAGTAGCAGAATTACAGTTGTGAAGTATCAACAAAAAATAATTTTATGGCTGGGGCCACCACAGTATGAAGAACTATATTAAAGGGTCACAGCATCAGGGAGGGTGAGGACCACTGGCCCCAAAAGGGCAGCTTAGGAATGCAGCTGGGGTGGAGGCGTCTTCGTGTAGTCTCTCCATTTGGCTAAAACGTGAATACGAAACAGCGCAACCACTGAGACCTGGGTTAATGGAGTGGTGGAAAGAGCTGAGGCCTAAGGGGTTGCCATGGTTTGTTTTTTTCTTTTTTCTTAGACACCATCTTCACAGAGAGACCACTGTCTACACTGTAACCCAAGGATCACATACACCTCCACATTTAATAGCATCGAACGAAGCTTATGTGAATCTCTGAACATTTCATCTGTCACAAACCCGGGAACAAGGGTGGGCATAACCCTCAGCTGTGACATACTTTTCTTCATTTGTTTATACATTCACTCAACTTTGTGTGTGTGTGTGTGTGTGTGTGTGTGTGTGTGTGTGTGTGGTATGTGTGTTGGTGAAAACACACATGTATGCACGTGCATGTGGGGGCCAGAGGTTGATGCTAGATGTCTTCCTTGACCATGCTCTGCCTTATTTCCTGAGGCCTTTCACAGAAGTTGGGCCTCCTCAGGTGTCTAAGCTGGTTGAAAATGAGCTCCAGGGATCCACCTGTCTCTGCCTCCCCAGAGCTGTGCCTGGCTCTTGGATGCTTGAGGTCCAAACTCAGGTCCTCATGCTCACACAATAAACACTTGACCCACTGAGCCACCTTCCTGGTCCCTTTCTTCCAAACATCGTCATTATTCAGGTCTCTGATTGTTCAATCTGTCATTGATTGTTTGTTATGGTCTCTCAAAGGAGAAGGGGCAGTTCGTGCAGGATGGGAATTGGCTCTTTTATATCTGGAGGAGCTGCAGAGCTCTGGTAGACAGTTGACGCTTAATTAAAAATGTATTGAGTCGTGAGGGCAGGCAGGCAGCAGTCATCCAAGAAAGTGACAGAATTCTTTTCTTGTTAGTAACAAGATCTCAGAGTTCCCAGCGTTAATCTGTAATAACACAGGGAGCTGTGAGGTCCTGGTCAGTCTAAATCTTTCAAAAGCACACTGGTGATGTCGTCTGATTTGTCCCTTGCTCCTAGGCTGCCCCACACGTGACAGCATATTGAGAAATACCAGAGGAACCACCCACACTCCCATTGGAACAGCCAAAGATGCCTAATTCTCAGTGTTCTGAGGTCTGGGAGACTAAAACCACCCTGTTAAAAACCATTGTCCTAAATCAACCTGATTGTCTCCAAGTTATGCCCTTCCTTGGAGGGCTTTGGCTGCAAGATCGAACTCAGCCTCAGCTTGGTGCCCACGAATGCAGTGGCATTTCCCCTGCAATGAAGTGATCGTCCCCCACCCACCCCAGTCTCCATCTTTCTCCCAGTTCTTCACACCATCAAAGGAAGACAAAGGCAGGAACGTCAGCTGTTACCCTGTCACGGGGAGGCGCGCCTTTTATTGCTGCAGCAATCTCTCAGATATCAGCGGGAGATGTAGAATTAGAAATAATTAAAGCATATAAACAAACAAAGAGCTGCAACTCTGTGGCCCAGGGCTCAGCACGCAGACACCAGCTGTCACTCGAAAGTGGTTGGAGGGGTCTTCGGCAGAGGTGTGGACCGCCTCGCTCAGGGTTTGTCACCCACCCACGACTCTGTCCATCTGTGGTGCCAGCCTTGACCATGATGCCAAGAGCCAGATGCCACTCAGAGTGTGACAGAGGGGATTCCAGGGTTCAGCATAGAAGCTGGGGACTGCCGGGGAGTGGCTTCTCCCCATTCTCCTCCTCCCCATTCTCAAACAAGATTAAATGAGGCATTGGTACTCTTGTCAGAGTAGTCCATAGAAGGTTTGATGTATAAGGAATTAAGAAACTATAGATGCATGAAAAAAAAAAATGATGCGAGACACCCCAAAGTGTTCATGTTTAACATTTAATTGGAAAGAAATGATGAATTAAACTATCTGAATCTTTGGTTTCTTTTTGTCCTTGATCATCATGGCCATGAGAAAACAAAAAGGTGTGTGTGTGTGTGTGTGTGTGTGTGTGTGTGTGTGTGTGTTTAAGGTACAGCCTGGAACACCCATTCTGGAATTCTTTCCCTAAAGAAATGTTCCCAATTGTCTGAACTACTGTCCGATGCCATGCCCTCCTCACTGTGATAGACTGAAAACCTCCAAAACTGTGAGACAAAATAAATTCCTCCTGCTCCTCCATTTTTCTGCCAGGAGTTTTGGTTATGATGGTAGAGAGGTAACAAATACAGAGAGTTGGTACCAGGATTGGGGGAATTGGCATGACTAACCCTGATTATAATTTCTCAAGCCTTTGGAATTGGTGTGTGGGAACAATTTGGAAGCATTTAGAGATGTGGGCTTTGGATGCCCTAGCATCTATAAGCAGAGCTTGGTGGGTGATTCTGTTGGATGGTGCAGGGGACCAGAGTCCCATAAAAACAAAACAAAAAACTAAAAACAACTCAGGCAGTAACGAATGTGCTCATCTGGCTCCTGATGGGAGAAGCACCTTACTGAGAGCTGGACTACAGACCTTGCATGCCATGTCCTAGCCAAGACTTTTGTCTACGTTTACCTATGTCCTAAAACTTTGTGGGAGGCTGACTTTGAAGTAATGGGTAGGGCTAGAGAGATGGCTTAGTGGTTAAGAGCACACACGCCACTCTTGCAGAGGACCTGAGTTTGATTCCCAACACCTGCTCACAACCATTTATAACTCCAGCTCTGTGTGATTCCAATGTCTGTGGCCTTTGTGGGTATCTGCACTCACATGCGTGCCCATGCCGAGTGTGCACAAGCACATGCACGCACGTGCGCGCGCGTGTGTGTGTGCGCGCGCACACACACACACACACACACACACACACACTCTCTCTCTCTCTCTCTCTCTCTCTCTCTCTCTCTTTTAAAAATAAAAAGAAAGTAGTGGATAAATAAATTAACTTGTCAGAGGAAATTTCCCAGACAATGATCAGGTGGTAGAATGGTTATTGCTGGCTGCTTTTAGTCAAGTTTGTAGTGAGAATTGTGAGCAGGAAAGCAGAGCAGAAAGATTTGAAACTATCAAGGCTGACTAGAAAAGGAGTAAGTTGAAAGTTGTGGACGTGGAGGGCATAGGTTGTAAAGAGATTAGTTATGTTGAAGAGAATCCAAATACTTTGTAGTAAGACAGTTGGATATTGGGCCAGACCCCACTCACAGCACATTCCAAAGTGCAAATCCACAACCTCCTCTGGAGGATTTTTCTTGTGAATAGTGAACACCAGGGTTTCTTGCTTGCACAGGTCTATCTAGGAAATTGTTCTGTCAGATTCCTCCACCCAGGCGCTTATAGGTAGGTCACTTATTACTATGGTCCAATCTGGTGCGGCTCTTTAACATGATAGCATACTTTGAGATTGTCTCTATAGCGTTTGGTTTAGCAGGCATGTTGAATGCAAGGGTGGTGTTGTAGAGGCTTCCACCCAGATGTAGATGGATGTTTTTTTTTTTTTGGGGGGGGGCGCCAGCTCATAAAAAACAACACAGAGTCTTATTAATGATGAAAGCTTCAGCCTTAGCTTAGGCTTGGCCCTAACCAGTTATAACTTAAATTAGCCCATATCTTTTAATCTATGTTCCCTTGCATTGCTCGGTTACTTTTACTTGGTACTGCTCATCCTGCTACCTCAACATCTGTCTGGTGACCCCCTCCCCTTTCTTCTTCCCAGGTATTCTGTCTCTGCCCGGGAAGTTCTGCCTATCTCCTCTGCCTCATTGCTGGCGGTTCGGCTTCTTATTATGACAGTCACACCAGTATATCTTCACAGTGTACGAATATCCCACAACACCTGTATCTTTAAGGGTGCTTGCAAGGCAGGAGAGAACATACGAGCAATGGAGGTCAAGATCATAATGGAGAAATCTACAGGGGCAGCTTGTGGAAACTGTGCACTCTAGATGGACAATCCGGAGAGCCCAGGGGATGGAGCTAGGCCCTCCGTATGTGGGAGACAGTTGTGAAGCTTGGACTATCAGAGGGGCCCCTGGCAGTAGGACCACGATACAAACGTAGTACATGAGCTAGCTTGTTAGAGCCCACTCCTTAGGGTGAGAGGCCATGCTCAGTGGCAGTAGGACCTCGATAAAATCCTGGTACATGAGCTAGCTGGTCGGAGCCCACTCCGATGATGGGATGCCATGCTCAGTGTTAATGCATGGGAAAGGGGCTGGGCCCTCCCACAACGTATTGTGCTAGAATGTGGTGACTCCTCCTGGGAACCCTTACCCTTGAGGAGGAGGGGACTGGGGGTGGGCTAGTGGGGAGGTGAGGGGGTGGGAGGAGGGGTGGGTGGGGGAACTGTGGTTGGAATGTAAAATTAAATCATAAAATAAAAAATAAGTAAAGTTTACAGTTTTTAAAAAAATACCCTTTCATCCTTCAGGTTGTTTGTCTGGCATTCTGTCACTGTGATCAGCAAAGACAGCTGCATGTGGAATGGATGGGTGGCCCTGGGGGCTTATTCTAATAGGTCATGTTCTAAGTCTGTTGCGTCCTGTATCCAGCAGTGATGAACTCTCCACTCCTCTCTCTCTCTCTCTCTCTCTCTCTCTCTCTCTCTCTCTCTCTCTCTGTGTGTGTGTGTGTGTGTGTGAGTAGTGTGTGTGTGTGTGTGTGTGTGTGTGTGTGTGTGTATTGGGGACTGGCATTTAGGGATCGGTGTCAACGCCTTAGGCGTTAGTCATCTGTCCCCAAAGCTTGTCATCCTCCTTCCACACAGTCCCGTCTGTGAGAGCTGGGTCTCATCAGGTACTCAGCCCCTCTTAGCAGGACATCTGTGGGTCCTGAGGGTCTGGAGTCCCAAGGGCGCAGAAGTGCTGTAGTGACAATCCTGCTTCCTGTTTCAGGGTGCTGCGGAAGACCCCCAGACGGCCCTGGCCCTGAACCTGGACCCTGTACTGATGAAGAAGTCTGATCCTGAGGGCCCCACCACACTGCTCCTGCCCGAGAGGGAACTCTCCATCCGGATAGGTAGCGCTGGGCTTCTTTCAGGCAAGCCTTCTGCTGCAGATGCTGAGCTGGCGCGGAGGGAGGGTCCAGACCGGGGGCTGGTGCTAGGAGAGGAGGGGATGCCAGGCACTCTGCCTTTCCAGGCTGCTCATGTCACTGCTCACAGTGGCATTCTGTCCATGCCTGTTTCTCTCATTTGTTCATGCAAATTCTCACCCATTATACAGGCAGCCTAACAGCTTTGCTGCTGTATCCAACTTGGATGGGTGGACAGGGGTCACTCTGAATGGGATGGGGCTGATTTGAGTTAGAAAGGGTGAGCACTGATTAGTCCCTTCCCCCCCCCCCCCCGTCTCCCCGTTCATGTCCTGTGAACCCCGAGCGCCTTCTCCATCTGTGTGATGCTGACTTTGTGCTTCATCATGGGAAAGAGTGCGTGCGTCTCTTGCATAGTCTGTGTGGAGCCAGGGCACAACAGCAGCAAAGCAGCGTAATCTCTGCTGACATAGAGGGAAGGGTCTCTCCACAGGAGCCAGCGGACACCTCCTAAATCTCAGAGGGGCCCAGCCTGAGCTTGGATCCTGCCCTGCACAGCTCTCAAGCCCCATGGTTTCCGTTCACAATCTGCCCTGAATGCATTATCCAGGAAAAAACCTTGGATGCCTTCTCCCTGGCTGACCCTGTCTGCCTCCCGCCACTTTCCAGCTGGAATATAAAATTCATCTAATAGGATCTCAGGCTGTAGAGGGTCAGCCACAGCTGCCCTCTCGTCCCCTATCACACATCTTATTCATACTCAGCCTGTAATGGTTAAATCCTAGCTGCCATCCTCTCCCACAGGATTGTAGTCAAGGGCTGTCTTCCACCAAATGTCATTTTTCTTTTTTTCTTTTTTCTTTTTTTTTTTTTTCTGCCTCAAGTCCTGAGCGTACAGGCACTCATATCTCTATGCGAATTTTCTTTGCTCAGCTTCCGTGTGCCTTTGTGAGGATGTTGTAGCCTTAACTCAGCATTTCTGTAGGGTAGAAAAGTTGGCCTGGCTTTACTTTTTTGTCTTTTAAACCAAAGGAGTTGGGGGTTCAGGGTGGCTGTCAACAAACAATGTATATGGAAATGTCTTGTGGAAACCCGAGGGCAACCTTTGCCATTATTCCTTAGGTACTATGAACATGCTTGAGACAAGAGTGTGGTTGTCTTACTGATCTGGAACTTTCCATGGTGACTAGCCAGGCTGGCCTCACAATCCTCTCTCTGTTGTCCTACATTGGAACCGAAAGCACACACCATTGTGCCCAACTTTTTTATGTAGGGCCTGGGGCTTGAACCCAGGACCTCATGCTTGAAAGGCAAGCGCTTTACACACTGAGTTATTTCCCTAGTCCCTCAGTGGACTTTTTCCGGGGAGCTTTGGGAGATTTCTGTGTGGTGGGAGCGGCTTTCCTTTCACCTGGCTCTGAACACGAGGTACCTCCTGTTACCAGGTTGCCAAGCAATCCTTATAGCTGTTGCTAACCATTCTGATGCAGGCCCGGATGCAGCCCTTGAAGACGGTTTGCTTGCTGTCATTTCATCTCACCTGGATGCACCTGTGGGTGTCGGGCATCTGGAGACTCTCAAACTGATAGTGCCTATTTGGTGCCTGGCCTCCTGCAGACCAAGCCTGAAGGGCACTGTTTGTGCCATCTGGAATTGTCCTTTAGCTTGCAGTAACTGGAGCAAGGAGGCCAGCTTAATGGGCATTTAGTGACAAACATCAGCCTTTCAAAAACAATCATGACGCTGCTATCATGTCCTGTAATTGGTTCAGCAGGGGGAAAAGCCAGAGAAACCATGCCTTGGGAGGGAAGTTCAGCTGCCCTGGGTGGTAGCAGCAGCCAGGCTGGGAAAATCATTTATTAGACACTTAACTATTGATGGCTGTCTGTGCCTAACATGTATTATATCAGTTATTCTCAAAGCTGGGGGTATTTGGGGATGCGGTGAGGCCAGAAGTCCCTTTAAAACTGTGCCAATCTCTGTTTCTTTCTCTTCCTCTCTCCCTCCCTCCCCATCCCTCCCTTCCATTTTTCTTTCCATCCGCCACCTACCCATCTACCTACCCAGCCATCCTTTCTTTCTTCCAATTCAAAATGTAAAGGCTAGGATTAAAGAGAAGGAGCTGCTTTACTCCCAATCTCAAATCGCTTTTAGTTTAACCCCCCCTGCTACAGACACAGCCACCACTCCTGGATTCTGTGCGTTCTTTAAGGATTGCTGTGCCTGTGCGGTAGTCATACACAGGACCATTGGTCTGTATCTTGTGATTTTTTTCTTTTTTAAACTTGACCAAATTTCGTTATTGTAAGGGCACTCTTGGATCCATGCCATTTTGTTACTGCTCGTGACCTTGCATGATTGATAGTCCTTTAGATTAATTTTAGTGTTCTGTTGTTACTAAGAATTTGACAGAGAACATTTTGACATTAGTGAATAGTTGTAGGTATGTATGTACATATATGAAGGTCTGTATATGACCATCAAAGGGTTAATTATCCTCTTAAAATATGTAAAACTTTTGTGTACTTGAGTTATATTAAGTTCTTTGACAGTTTCATACATGTAGATGATACGTTCTGGTCCTTCCCCCCCCCCTTATTTATGTCCCTCCCACTGCTATCAGCCCCTCCCCTGCCAGACCCTTTTTCAGATTCATGATTTTTGGTTTTGTTGTGTGACTTGACCTGTGTGTTTTTGGAAGGCAGAGAGCTGTAACTTTTACCACACTTCAGATTCCCTGAGGCTCTAATGCATCCTAAGTTCTTGGACATTTGTGTCTCAGTTCTTCCCATCAACCATTTTGAATTATCATCCTCTTTAGGTTAAGTTAAATGTTTTTCCCCCTATCCCTTCTGGCTAGGCCTGTAATCTGGACTTCTTCACTGAGAGGGTGGGAGCAAAGCATGGTGGTTATTAAAATGTGCTATGAGGAAAGAAAAAACAAAATGAAATATGATAGGACATTTTGTTTTTTCAGAAGACAAAAAGAAAGGGCTAGGATGATCATGATGATGGTGGTGGTGGTGATGGTGATGATGGTGGTGATGATGGTGGTGATGATGGTGATGATGATGATGATAGTAGTGCTTATGATGGTTGTGGTGATGACGATGGTTGTGATGATGATGGTAATGGTGGTGATGATGGTAGTGATGATGGTGATGGTGATAGCTAAGCTGTGGTGTTAAAGTAAATACATGACCAGATATACTTTCTTGAAGTGGGCTCTATATAGGTAAGTGGGGCAGTCACATGTTTTTGCCTATGGGACTGTTGTCGGATGATGCACCTTCAGAGCTCTTTCATCTTCTGAAAAGTGTTATGTACTTGGTCCAAATGAGCTTAGAACCCAAATAGCCCTTGGCCTGCTTCCTTGCCTTCTTTTCCTTTCCTTTTTTCATGAGGCAGGCGGTGGTTTGGGAGCCACCTTTTCTTGTGGCCTGGCCAGAAGGCAATGTGGTATTCCTGTCAACTCTATTGACACCCATGCCCTGAAATAGGATTCTGGCATGCTGAAACAGGAAATACCCTCCGCATCCTCTCCCCCACCAACCCTGAGGGCAGGAAGTCAGATGGAAGTGTCTAGGTGCAGAGTGGCTTCTTCAGAGTCCTGTTCTTGGCTTGCAAGTGGCTGACTTCTCCTCTGAATGTCTGCCTCTCATGTGACACTATTCCTGGGGAGATGGGCAAATGTCTACTCTACTCACTGCAGACAGGATACTGACAGCAGACCAAAGTACGGATAGCACCAAAGACCAAGTTGGTGAGCCAGTGAGTTTTCCTGCGGTTTATAGGAGCAGAATTACTCCCAGACAGCGTCATCACCATGCAGCTGCCATCTGAAGCAGGTCAGCTGCACCTGCCAGACGGAGGCTGTCAGGAGCAGGCCTGGGACTGTTGATGCTCCCCCAGACAAGGAGGGAGCAGGGACGGTGACTGGCCCCTCATCTGAATTTTAAGCTCCACCAATACACCCTCCCAGCTGTTTCTATGGAATCCTACCGCAGTTGTATGGCTTCAAGTCTGGAGAGGTACTGGGTTATATAGCTTGGGAAAGTTAACTAGAGGGGAGGGCTCAGTCTGCAGCTCTGGGGAAGCCATCTTGGCATGGTGGATGGACACTTGCCAGTGGGACTAGTTTGCTGTCGCCCATGCTCCCATCATAACCCGGAACCCATGCATACTCTGTAGATAAGCCCAATAAACTCATCGGTTCCCTAGAGTGAACGTTTGTAGAGTTGTACTTTGGTTTCCTCATGACTGCATCCTTTTGCCCTTTGACCAGTGCTCACCCAACTCCACACACAGAGTCCTAGTTTCCAGGTGAAGTCACGTTTCCAGGTTCCAGGGAGACCTGCATCTTGGAGGGTAACCATTCCACAGGGCACATACACCACCCCATCCTCTGTTCACCCGGATCTGGGCTCAGGACCACAGTTCAGTTCCTGCAGAGTTTGTGTGCCAGGTGCAAGTGAGGGGGAGGGAGGGAGTGGGAGAGAGCGGGAGGGGAGGAGAGCGGGAGGGCAGGAGAGGCAGCCTGGGGAGGCTAATCCTGCCAGTAATTGAAAGAAACCCCTTTTAATTCATCTGGAGCCTTGGAGCTGGCTGCCTGAAGCTCTGCTTGTGGTATTCATTAAGTGCTCTAGAGGAGTTAGGATACTGTCTCCTTATGCCAAATGTAACATTTGCTTGGTTAGCAGGCTCCATCATATTTATAAGAGCCTGACACATTCATCTCAGCTCATAAGTCTATTAAACAGGGTAATGTGTTCTTAATGCTCGCTCTGGAACCAACCGAGAAGCGCCCAGAGCCCAGGCAGCCGGGTCAGGATATTCCTGTAGGGCTTTTGTTACTCAGAGATTTAGAGGGCTGCTCCCAGAAACAGCTGTCTTGGTTGCTCCCTAGATTATTTCGTTTTTTCAGATGTTACTTTGCTTTTTCTTTCAGCTCTTGAAACTCAAAATTCGGGGTCGCACTTTTGAGG